CGCACAGCGGCAGTCAGGAATCCAATACTTGAGCAATCCGAGAATCGAGAAGGTAGTTGAAATAGTGGCAGACGGACTCTGCCAATCAGCAGAGGACAACAATCAATGAACAGCTTCAGTGAGAAATTCCTTTAGAGAGAAACCCTCAGATGAAAACCTTCAGTGAGATGGATTGTTTGTACACTCATCTAGACTCAGATCAGTCCAAATATTCAAAAGATCAGAAGAGAAATTGAAAAGAAATGAAGAATCAGATCGTAACAACTATGCTACCATGTGATTTGGGATGCAGAGAGGAAAGAATAAGGCAAATTTTCTGTGTTATTTCATTACTGAACCAAGATACTATATCTACAATTAGTACGTTAGTTAAACTAGCATGTTCAACTGCTTTTAACCATCCAATACAACAAAGGCAACCTTGGCATCTACCTTTCACCATCATCAAAAAGGTGCTTAGTAAGGTAATTTCAGCTACTCCAAAACTACCCTTCTCTTGAACGCCGAAGTCAAGGCATTCTAGCAACCACACAAACTTATTTGGAATTGCACTAATATCTGTAGCTTCAACATCTTATTCTTTTTGTTTCCCTAAGTTCTGAAGTCAAAGTATAACCTGTTGAAAACGTGCCCTCTTGTTCATTTGATTCCCCCTGGAAGCACTATGCACTTGCCGGCAAGTTGGCTTATCTAAAAAGTAATAATCATGAAACCATATAAGTGAGATGGTTCGTTCTTTTGCATGCTACTCATTGGGATGAAACCATATAAGTGAGCTTGTTCTAGTTTGTAGTATTGACATTACCTTTATTATTCGTTACCATATTTTTTTACTGTTCTGTGTGCTGCTACTCTTATTTGATGACAACGACTATTTCTCATAGAAAAATACAAGCACAAGTCCAGCTGGGTTTGGGCCTTCGCGCATTATATCCTAGAATTCTTGAATTCCATCCTCACATTTGTTGGTTTCCAGGTTAATTACTGGGGGTGCATCATTAGGTGTGTGCAGAACCCCTCCTTTCCCTTGGTTTACTCATCTTTGGGTGAGGTTTTTCCTATCTTTGGATACAATGACAGAGATGCTAAATTGAGAACTATGGATGACTTATGAGAATTTTGAATTTTTTCGATAGACATGGCAAGCATGTCAATGAATCTAAATTCATCATGGTTGTTCATGACAATGAATCCAGATTAATTACTGGGGGTGCATCATTAGGTGTGTGGCATAACCCCTCCT